AATTATGGCAGCAAGTACTGGAGCCACACTAACGTTTTATTCTAGGATGTCTATAGGTGTAGAAGGAGTCATTGTTGAGCACAGTAGGATAAGCACTGGACCACAAGCTTGATTCAAACTGCAAAAGTCAGTGGTTCAAACTCACTAGCCACTCCTTAGAAATCCTATAGAGGATCGCTATGAGTCAGAACCAACTCGATAGAACTTAAGAACAACAGCATCAACAGCAATAGAATCAGAGAAAGATGCTCCACAGAGACAAGTAAGCCTCTCAGGCAGCTTTCTGCTTGCCTGGGAAAACTGCAGAGTATGCATGCTTTGAGGACTATTGAGCCCACAATACTGTTTCTTTAGATAGATAAAACTCAGCTGATAAGTATGCATTTGGTTGAGCTACAAGACCAAATAGAAATATTGGTATTCTTTTTAGCTTTACACCTTTCATATTCAGTAGTTGTTCTTGAAATAAGTTGAAACAACTGACTTTGCAAAATTGGGTTTACCCAACCACACCTGTTACAAGAAACTGGGTACTGTAGCTGAAATTGAAGTATTAACACAAAGCCAAGATGCCTAGGAAGGCCTAGTAAGTGTAAGAGCAGTACTTTAATTTTTTTTTTTTTTTTTTAATTAAGGATTCAAAACTTATTGAAATGGATGATCCTGTGATATCCTTACAATGATGTCAGTTTGGGTCCCTAAAAGTCATAGGCACACTTAATTAATTTAAAATGTGGCGTCATGAAAAGCCTATTATTAGCTTGTTTTCAGTGATGTATCCGAAATCTATAAAAATGGATTATAGTCATTCTGCTGGTGTTGTCCAGTATTCTTTTTTATAAACAAAGATTTTGCATAAGTAAGATTCCCCTCCCCATTTCTCCCTGAGAAAGACAGACCAACTAACTCCCTGTCATCCCTTTAACTCTCTGCCTTGACAAGTGTTTGGCTACTATAGAGAGGCAACCAAGTAGAACACGAGCCCAGGCGGGAGTTTGTTAGGTTTTGCTACCTCCGTGTATTTGAATCTGTCACTGGGGCATCTTCCCCTTTTTTCCTTATGTGAGAAGCTTGTGTTTCTAAAAATAAATAAATAACCAGAAGAATTAACCACTCTGTCACAGATGGCAGAAAGAACTTTCTGTATATCTAAGCATTCCCTTAAGAGCACATTTTCTTTTCATCCTAGGAACGCTATCAAACAAAACATGGTTCAATACTGGCATCCTGTGGCCACAGAAATTCATCAAATCTCTGAAAAATCTCAGATCCTCAGCTCAGATCATTCCCGAGCTACTGATGCTAAGCAGCTTATACCATCTTCTGTCTGATAAATTCTCCTTCTTCAGGGAAGCACCCTATGTAAAATATATTTTGATAGATTATCACTTTTACAGGGCTAATCTGATCACAGACTCCTGGTATAGTGCTGTATGATCAGCACTGGACTGTGAACCAAAGGATCAGCAGTTCAAACCCACCAGCTGTTTCTCTAAAACCTGATACAGGGTCACTATGAATCAGAACTGACTCAATGTCAATGAACAACAACAAGAATCTGCTCAGATGTCTTAGGATAAAAATAAATGCTAAAGAATTTCACCAAATAAAACAATATGATGTGAAATCACTGAGCGAACTCCTCCAAACAAAGGTTCTCTTGGCCTCCAATTCACACTGAGTTTCTCGCTAACAAAAAGAGGTAGTAGAGGGTAGGGGCAGGGTGTAGTTCAGGACTCTAGGGGGCCTGCTGTTTGTGTGTCTGTAGTAAGTGTTTTGTTTTGGTCAAAGGCTAGGAAAATACTGGCTATTGCAGCAATAAATATTATGAATTTTCTTTATTTTACTACAAGAATGCTGCCTAAGAGGAAAATCAAACAAAATTATGGAGGATTGCTGCTTTTTGCTGCTCACTTGCAAGGCAGCGATAAAGATAAAGAGTTACAATGATTGTAGTTTAAAGACACAATTGCCATGCTCCCTGGTAAGACTTAATGGCATTTCTGAGAACCAAATAACCATTATGGGACTACTACATTGCTGCTAGCTTCACAAATGGCTAACGCTAAATTAGGAAGTCTTGTATATCTTCAGAACATCATTAGAGACAGAAAAATAGTAACAACAACAACAACAAAAATTTTAAATAACATGAGCATGAAAAGGCATCAAAATAAGATGGAGCATGAAAACTGCTAGTCATCAAACACTAACAAAAACCTAGTGCAAAACAGTTATGAAGAGGCTTTAAGAAGTTGGTGGAAATTTTAAATTAAAAGTCAATGGGATTTTTTCATAAAGTTTTTGAAGCCTCCTCATACTTGTGAGCAAAATCTTTGACCACAAATAGGAGAAACAAAATGCCTGCTAAGTATCATGTTTTTTGTTGTTGTTATTAGATGCCCTTGAGTCAGTTCTGACTCAGAAACCCTATAAAGGGTTTCCAAGGAGCGACTGGTAGATTTGAACCACCAACCTTTTGTCCAGTGCTTATCTTACAGTGTCACACCCAGACTCACTAAATGGGATAGAGTAATGAATTTACCTTTTCATCTTGCCCTTCTCAACTCTAAGGTTCTTCCTTCCTAAATTACCTTGGTTTTCCATCATATTCATGGGCTCTAACTGCCTTTAACTAGGACCAGAGATAGTTACAGATCTCATAATGATGAACTATGCCCTAAACCTTGGTAATAAGTAAAAACATCCTAATGGCAAAAATGTTTAAAAAGACTGTAGTCCCTCCTCTATTTTGAATGCCTGTAACAGGAAAAAAAATATAACTAAAAGTATTCTATAAAAAACCAGTGTGAACTAATAAGAAATAGAGATTAAACAATCTGCTTGGCAATTAGTATGTCTGCATTAGCCCTAAAGAATTTAGTTTATAAGGTAACTCTTCTTTGGGGAATGGTGTTGTCAGCTAGAAAACAAAATCCAGGTATAAATAGTAGTGGTGTAAGGGCTAAAGATACCAAATAGTAATTAAAAGCAAATAAAGAGTAGTAGCAAAACTCTAAATGACTGACTAGCTTCTAAATGAGTTTTTGTAACACATTTGATATGCAATATGCAAACCAAGTTTTTTCTTTCTTTCTTTTTTTTTTTTTAATAACACTGTTATTTATTAATATATTTACCAGAAATCTACCTTAATTTTTTTACTTGTCTAGGTTATTTAAGGGAAGCACAGTGGCTCTGCAGGATAAGCACTGGACTGTGAACCACAAGGTTGGTGGTTCAAGTCCAATAGCTGCTCTGAAGGAGAAAGATGAGGCTTTCTGCTTCCGCAAAGATTTACAGCCTGGGAAACTCTATACAGGGCCACTGTCAGATGAAACCAACTCAATGGCACTCAACAACAACAGAATATTTAAAATTAATTATGGAAAATTAAGCAAATGATAACAAAGGAAAAGAATAAAATTTATACTCTAAACTAATAACAAGAACATTTCTGCTCCTTTAGCTTTACTTTTTACTTCTCTCTTCTTCCAGGTGAAGTCCTGGTGTGGCTCTGTTGGTTAATGCACTGGATTTCAAGGTCAGTTTAAACCACAAAGTCAGTGGTTCAAGCTCACCAGCCACTCCTTGGACATCCAACTTAGGGGAGCTATGGGTTGGAACTGACTCAATGGCACTTAACAGTGACAACTTCTACCAGATACCCACTCTAAAAAGAGCATAGATATTGATGGCCAGGAAACATGAGTTCATATGATAGCTCTAGGGTTTAAAACTTATAAATTGAAAAATGAATTTCCTATCTTCCCAAGCCCTAGTTTCATCATCTGTATGAGAATCACATACCTAACATACAAATCTTAATGAAGATTAAATACAGTGGGAAAAGGACTCAGCACAGTTCCTTAGGGAGAACTGGGCTCTTAACAGAGGTTGTTCATAAACACTCCTTTTTGCCTAGTGATCTACTCTCTGTTTCCCTTTCCCAGTTTAACTGGTCACCAAGTCCTGTGGGTTTTTCCTGTTCAATATATTGCATTTTTTCTAGGTCCCTGCTAATACTGCCTTCATTCAGACTTTCTTTAATTCTCCTCAGGATTTTTGTGATCACCATCAAACTGCATTCATTGTCTCCAACCTTCATCTTCTTTCATCCTTACTGCCCCCAGTGTGGTGTTTCTAGAATATAAAACTGCCTGTCATTGAATTCTTGCCCTTTAACTTTTTTCTGTGCAAGTTGGAGCAAGTTAAGTGAATTTTCCAATGCTGCAACTCAAAATCTATATAAAATAGGATTTTTGTTATTGTTGGTTTTCCTACTTCAGAAGGATTAAATAGGTACATGCATTTGTGAACACCCAGCTGTTATTCTCTTGTTTGTTCTTCCTTTTATGGCCTCTCTATATCTCACCATCACCACTGTTGTTGTTGTTAAGTGTCATCAAGTCAGTTCCATCTCAAAGTGACACTGCATAGGGTTTCTGAGGAGCAGCTGGTGAGTTTGAACTGCAAACCTTGCAGTTCAAACCAACTTTGTGTTCCAGTGTTTATCCTACAGCGCCACACCAGAACTCCACTATCCCCAGTAGGGTAATGTTACAATCATGATATTGAGTCGTTTGTAGGCATCTGCCTAATGCCTCATCAAATCTCATGTTGCTTTTAAAGTTACATCTATTGATATAGAATCCCTAAATGGCATTCAACCCAAAATAAAAAATAATTAGGTTAGTAAAAGATCCAAATGCACAATTAGGTCATTTGCATAATTGCTGAAAAAATTATATCTAAAAAAGCTGTTCTCCCACGAAGTTATTTGAGCAGCACAAACTAAATATTTTGAAAGGAATTCAGTGGTTGTATACTGAATTACATCCTTCCTTCTATTCCATCTCTGAATTCCAATTAAAATGCAGTAAGTATCACAATTGTATATATATTTTAAATGTTCAGATGTGCCTGTTATAAATGTTCATTAGTATGTGTTTCTGAACACAGTCCCTCAAAAAGTCTTGAACCTGCTTAAAGACTCTTACCTGACATTCTTCTAAACCATTTGGGTTTCTTGTCCCATATAATAAAAAGATAGTATGCAGGAACCCCAGTCAGAGTGATGACGAAGCCTATCCCAGTACTAAAAGGATCTGAATAAAGGGAAAGGGCCACCATGAACAGACAGGTGAAGGAAAATAATGCTGGGATGAACAGGGGCACCTGCAAGACAACAAGAAAGAACCACTTCAAACACAGTTTCAGAGACAGAAGATGGGCTCAAGGTGAACATTTCAATCATGTGACCTAGAGATATTTTGGCCATGTGACCATCTGACAGGCGTTCTTCTATCTTACCTTGTAGCAAATTCTCTTTAAAGGAACACAGAGAATGCATTTAAAATATTCTTTTAGACTGTTTTTAAAATTTCTGAATGCTATCAAATCTAAGACAGGAAAAGTTGTTTCTTTACAAGTTTTGTTTGAATTCTTTTATAAGTTAAGTACCATTATGCTTTATGCTTTTGATTTTAAGAGACTGGCTTTTTGATAATTTTGATTAGAATCCACTTTAATGTAGAGTTGAGAGCACAGGTTGCTTGTTATATGTTAAAGTCTTTCATTGCGTATTGATTTTCTGTAGGAGCTTCACAATAAGAACTGACAGGAATAAAACAGGCCAACTCCTACTCCACCACTAATAAAGACGTTGCCAGCAATCGACAATGGATATAATTAGAAACAAATTCTGACAACATGACTGACAACATTATCTGCATTATTTCTTAAGAGTGACCAAATGGTGATGCCAAACCAATCCCATAAACATTCAAGGGTGAAGAAGATGAGAATCATATTCTTCAACTCTTCCAAACAGTAGTGCTTAGACATGGTAAATGAACATCCTATTAAACAGTAAACTCAGAGAGCTACCCTTTGTACAGTGTCCATTTTTATTCCTTTTAGAATGTATAATGTAAAAAGGAGAGCTTGAGCAATATAATAAATTATAACATTTAAGAATACATAAGTAGAGCATCTTTTTTTAGAATTTTAATTATTGACAAGTCCATATCTGCCTCTTGCTTTCTAAGCATGGCTATTTATAATGATTTGGTATAAAGATAGATAGAAATGACTTTTTCTTTGAATATGTGAAAAATCATATTTCATATATGAAATAATATATAAAAAATCACATTTGTGAAAAATCAACATAAGAAATATCCTTTAACACCATTTATTTAAAAAAAAATCATATACAAATTTCATTTTATTACATACTAAAGAAAACAGACTGTTTTCCATAGTAAAATAAATCTAATATGAAGTCACACATGCAAGAGTTAAACATTTTATCCAGAGGATGCTACTCCTGCCCAACCTTCCCATCATCAAGTTATGACAAAGGGAGGCATTGGAACTAGAAGAAAGATTTATGTAAACCCATCAAGATTGCTGAGGTTACCTTGAAAGGACGGTGCATATCTGGGCATTTGTATCGAAGATAAATCAGCCCAGCAACTGCCAGCCCAATAAAAAGCCACCTGGCAAAACTGAGGAAATTCAAAAGACTGTAGAGGTCCCCAGAGAAGAGCATTATCATCGTCAAAGGGTGCTACAGGAAGGGGGAAAAAAAAATAAAATCAACCTTAGTAAATTAGGAGAATACCAGAACCACAACAGCACTATATATGTTATTATCTTTTTCAAATTATTATTTATACCAAAGAACTGAAAATCTAGATTCTACTAATCTCCTTTCTATACTCTGCTCTTATGATCCCTTGCCAGAGCATGACAGCACCACCATCAGTACCTCAACTCCAAAAGTTATTTATTTTGGATTGATATCCCTTTATATAGAGTCCAGGTGTGGAGCTGTGGGTTAATGTGCTAGACTGCAAAGCCTTTTGAACTGCAAGGTTGGCAGTTCAAGCACACCAGATGCTCCTCAGAAACCCTACACTGGGTCACTATGGGTCGGAATCAACTTTACAGCACTTAACAACAACAACAATCACTTTATATTTGTGAGAAGAGACTATTTTCAGAGAGTAACAGACACAGACTCAAGGATCCAAAATTTAAAGACCCAGAAACTGAAATGATTAGTAAATAACTGATAATAAAAACTGAAGCAGCAATTATGAGATGGTGCAAAGCTAGACAGTGTTTCATTCTGAGTACATAAGGTTGCTATGAGTGGGAACTGAATCCACCAGACCTAACAACAACAACAATAACAAAGATTAAAAGTGTACCCAATTGGAGTAGTCTTAGAAGCTCTGCAAATGCTCCTGGTTACACATACATCTATAATGCAGGCACTGCTAGGTGACTGTTTGCTCCTGAATGCAAAATGTTGACCTTTCTTCCTCTACACTTTACTCTCCCATGTGTTTGCCACGTGTGATCCTGAAGACTGTCAAAAAGAATGAAGCACTGAGATCAGCGGAGCAAGCCTCTGCAGCTGCACATACCAAGGACAGTATGACTGATAGCAGAGGCTTAAAATGAAAGCCCTCTTCACCGAATAATACATTCTCTTTCCACCAGTGACGCTAACTTCCAGATTCTGCACAGAGAATTCTTTGAAAACAAAAATTTAAAAAAAAAAAAAAAAAATGTTTTGAAGTAAATTAAGTGCATGAATTAAAAAAAAAAAAAGAAAAAAGTCAATGCATTCTAGGGTGTTCCTGACAGCAGATTCCAGTTGATAAAACAAAACAAAACAAATCAAAATTATACTTAGAAATGAATATAACATTGCCAATGGGCATTTGAGGACTTTTGCACCTGATGCTGTCTTTGCAATGTACATTTCACAAATACTTTTCCCAGCTTAAAGAAGGCTACAACTCAAATTTAATTTGTGTGCTTTTAGTTCTACTCTTTAGGGCTGCTCTCAAATGTCTCTCTTTTAATCATGAAATCACTGCACTGTATAGGATTTCCTTGATTCTTTGTACATTTGTGTGTGTGTGCATTTCATCATAAGGAACCTATGATGAGGCATTTGGGTGCTTTTGGACTGAAGCTTTTAGCTTTACTTTCAATAAGTGAAATTGGAACTTATTACTTTACATCCTTTTTCTGAAGCTCTGTGTCAATGACAGGAACCAAGTTAATCATTTTCCTAAGACTGTACACATTCCTACAACAGTGTAAAAGAAATAGTGTAGGTATTGCCCCCAAAGCATCAAATAAAAATCAGAAACACTGAGAAGGGCAGAAGGGAGAGAGAAAAATATCCTACCTCCACAATCTTCATCACACTATGTATTAAAACTATTTTAGCGATAAATAAGAAAATAAAGCACAATCTAAAGCCTGGTTTGGAGTCCTGGTGTGGTGGTATAGGATAAGCACTGAACATTTAACTATAAGGTCGACAGTTCAAACCCACCAAGGTTGGCATTTCAAACCCTACACAAAGCCACTATGAGTAGGAACCCATTCTATGGTACTTAATAACCATGAAGTTTAATTCTGGTTTAAATTTTTCATTGCTGATCCATTGTTTGCATTTATTTATATCTAGCTATACTTGTTAATGTACATTACCAAAACAATAACAGCTGGCAGAGGAGTGTGCTTGCGGACATGAATCATGGAGAGGATCTCTGGAAGGTGACCCTCTCGAGACGCAACATAGAATAACCTGATGGGAGAAAAATGTGGATGGAATTGACTGTACAATTGAGCATTTCAAAAGGAAAAACCAGAAATCCAAGAGACAACTCACATAATATTCATATAAAAAAATCCGGTGTTCCTCAGGTAATTAATTAATGTTGAATTTTTTCAGATAAGATAGAGAACATCACAAAAAATTGGATTTAGAATTTTATAAAATCTGCTGAAACATTATGCCCTCCTTTGAGAAAAAACAATAGCAATGTCTCACTCACAACAGCTCTCCCTACATATAAACAGCTAATGGTGAATGGAGCACTAAAATCTAATATTATAACTATGTGTGTATCAGTCAAATATATGGTGGATACACCTACTTAGGTACCTATGCATATATATGCATATACAGGCACAGAAATAACATTCATATTTATCTGATTGGGTTTTAATCATGGCATATTAAGACAAAAGGAACTTTTTATATCAATCAAGACAAAGGGGGTTCAGATGATACAGTAATGATTTTGGTGTATCTTACGTTATTTTTTTTCTTGCCACCTTTCTCTAAAACAAAAGATTTTATCACTGGAAATAAAATGCTGTTGTTAGACTCTGTAGATGTACTATAAAAAATGCCACATGCCCAGCTTCAGAATGGGCTATGAGTAGACAAGCAGTGCCCTCTAATGGGCAGAATAAAATATGTTCCTGATACTGGAAGGAAGATTTCAATCTTTCATATCCCTTTAAAACAACAGCTTTGGTAGCACTATTTCTTTTCATTTAAAAGTTATCCTTATCACATTCAATCTCAAACACAGAACTGTTTTTTCTGGAAATACTTGAACTCACTCACCTGGAGACAGCAAACACACCACCATTCATGGAGCCAAAGCAGGAGAGGGCAACAAAGATCGGAACTGCTAATGAGAAATTTCCCAGTAAACGCTCGGAAAAGGTCTAGTGAAAGACATAACAGAGCAAATTAATGCTTTGCCGGAAGTGAAATAAAATCAGACAATTTAGGCCAAACTCGCTCTATCATTTTCTATTAGCCTGGTGAAATGTGTGTGTTTTATAATCTTTCTCTTTGGTTAGGGTCAGACCCATCTCTGCCAACAATAATCAAAAGCAGGGTCCATGGAATTGCTTGTTACAAAAATTTGGATAAAGTCCAAACAAGTACCTTCTCTCTACTTTCAAAAAAAGCAATGATCCAGTTACTGAATCTTTATCAACTATTACATATATCTTCTCTGTCACTGGTAGGCAGAAATAGCTCTATTCAGAAATTGTACTTTTTGAGGCAGAAATCTTTCTGTATAATACCTTCTCTTTAGCCTGCTATTGCTAAGGGTCATCAAGTCATTTCAGACTCATGGGGAACCTATGTAGAGTTTCCAAGAAGTGTCTGGTGAGTTTGAACTACTGATCTCACAATTCAAAAGGACCTTGCAATCCATGCTTATCCTACAGAGCCACACCAGGTCTCTTCTCTTTACCCTAGAAGATCTTATTTCTATATTAATGAACAAATGTACACAGAGAAGCATTACATATACACGATTTATACACCAAACCCACAGCTAAGATGTGAAAAAATAATTGATGACTTAATTACTTAAATATATGTTGTTGCTGTTGTTAAGTACCATCAATTCAGCTCTGACTCAGAGTGACCCTGTATTAGGGTTTCCAAGGAGGGATTGGGTAGGTGGGTTTGAATCATCAAAAGTGTGGTCATCCAGTGATTATCCTACAGTCCAGTGCTTATCCTGTTGTTCTTGTTAGATACCACTGAGTTGGTACTGACTCATAATGACCTTAAGCACAGCAGAGCGAAACACTGTCTGATCCTGAGCCAACTTCTCTACTGTTGTTACACTTGAGCCCATTGATGCTGCCACTTGGCCAATCCATCTCATTGGGGGTCTTCCTCTTTTTCTCTGACCCTCCACCTTACCAAACATGATATCCTTCTCCAGTGACTGGTCCCTCCTGACAATATATCTGACGTATGAGAGACAAAGTATGACCATCTTGGCCTCCAAGGAGCACTCTGGCTGCACTTCTTCCAAAATGGATATATTGGTTCTTTTGGTAGCTCATGGCAATTTCAATATTCTCCTCCAACACCATAACTCAAATGCATCACTTCTTCTACAGTCTTCCTTATTCGCTATCCAGCTTTTGCATGTATATGAGGTTATTGAAAATACCATGGCTTGGATCAGGCAAATTTTAGTCCTCCAGCTGACATTGTTGTGCTTCCACACTTTAAAAAGGTCTTGTGCAGCAGATTTGCCTAATGCAATACATTGTTTGATTTCTTGACTGCTGCTTCCTTGAGTGTTGATAGTTGATCTAAGAAGAATGAAGTCCTTGACAACTTCAATCTTTTCTCCATTGATAAGAATGCTGTTTATTGGTCCAGTGGTGAGATTTATGTTTTCTTTACATTGAGATGCAATCCATACCGAAGGCTGTGCTCTTTGATCTTCATCATTAAAGTTTTAATTCCTCTTCACTTTCAGCAAGCAATTGTATCATCTGCACATCACAGGTTGTTAATGAGTCTTCCTCCAATCCTGATACCATGTTTTTCTACATATAACCCAGCTTCTAGGATGATTTGCTCAGCATACAGGTTGAATAACCATTGCAAAAGAATACAACCCATTCACACACCTTTCTGAATTTTAAAACATTCAGTGTTCCCATGTTCTGTTTGAACAACTACCTCTTGATCCAGATACATATTCCTCATAAGCACAGTTAAGTGTTCGGGAATATGCATACTTTGCAATGTTGTCCACAGCTTGTTATGGTCAACACATTCGAAAGCCTTTGCATAGACAATAAAGCACAGGTAAACATCTTTCTGATATTCTCTGCTTTCAGCCAAGATCCATCGGACATCAGCAATGATGTCTCATTCCATGGCCTCATTCCATGGCCTCTTCTGAATCCAGCTTAAACCTCTGGAAGTTCTCTGTCAATGTATGCTTGCAGCCATTTCTGTATTTCCTTTAGTAAAATTTTACTTGCATGGGATATCAAAGAGAATGTCTGATGACTTCCTCATTGCCTTGGGCCAACTCTCTTTGGAATGGGCACAAATATGAATCTCTTCCAATCAGTCGGTCAGATAGTTGTCTTCCAAATTTCTTGGCAGAGAGGAGTGAGTACCTCCTGTGCAGCCTCGCTTTCTTGAAAGATTTCAATTTTTATTCCAGAAATCCCTGATGCCTTGTTCTTTGCCCATTCCTTCAATGCACCTTGGACTTCCTCCTTCAGTATTATTGGCTCTTGATCATATGCTACCTCTTGAAATGGGTGAATGGTTGAATATCATCCACTTCCTTTTGGTACAGTGACTCTGTGTATTCTTTCCATCTTCTCTTGATGCTCTCTGAATCATTCAGTAATTTTCCCAGAGAATCTTTCAATAGCGAAAGTCGAGGCTTGAACTTTTTCTTCAGTTCCCCAGCTTGAGAAATGTTGAGAGCGTTCTTCCTTTTTGGTTTTCTGACCCCAGATCTTTGCACATTTTGTTGTAATATTTGGCTTTATCTTCTTGAGCTGACCTCTGAAATTTTATGTTAAGCTCTTGGACCTCCTCATTTCTTCCATTTCCGTTAGCATCTCTACACTGGAGAGCAAGTTTCAGGATCTCTTCTGATATCCATTTTGACATTTTCTTTCTTTGTTGTCTTCTTAATGACTTTTTGCTTTCTTCATGTATGATATTCTTGATGTCATCCAAGACTCTTCTGGTCTTCGGTCTTCAGTGTTTAATGTATCAAATCTGTTCTACTCAATTCAGGTGGAATAAATTCAAGGTCATATTTTGGCTCTCATAGACTTATTTTCTTTTTCTTCAGCTTGTTTGAATTTGCATGTGAGTAACTGATGTTCTGTTCCACAGTCTGCCCTTGGCTTTACTTTGACTGATGGTATGGAGCTTTTATATCATCTTTTTCCGCAGATGTAGTCAATTTGAATTTATGTATTCCATCTGGTGAGGTCATGTGTATAGTCGTCTCTTATGCTGTCTAAAGAAGGTATTTGAAATGAACAAATTATTAGTTTTGCAGAATTCTATCATGCATTCTCTAGCATCATTTCTATCACCAAGGCCATATTTTCCAAATACTGATCCTTCCTCTTTGCTCCCAAATTTTGCATTTCAATCACCACTAATGATCAATACATCTTGATTGCATGTTTGATCAATTTCAGATTGAAGGAGTTGATTGAATTCTTCTATTTCATCTTCACTGGCTTTAGTGGTTGGTGAATAAATTTGAATAACAGTGGTATTAACTGGGCTTCCCTGTAGGTGCATGGATATTATCCTATCACAGACAGCATTGTACCTCATGACTGATCTGGATATGTTCTTTTTGACAATGAAGGCAACACCATTCATCTTCAATTTGACATTTATGGCATAGTAAACCATGTGGTCATCATATTCAAAATGGCCAATACCAGTCCATTTCAGCTTACTAATACCTAAGATATCAATGTTGATGCATTCCATTTCATTTTTGACAACTTCCAATTTTCCCAGATTCATACATTGTACATTCCATGTTCTGATTTTCAGTGGATGTTTACAGCTCTTTCTCTTCATTTTGAGTTGTGCACCATCAGCAAATGAAGGTCCTGTAGGCTTTTCTCCCATGGGCTTTACTCCATTCATGTCATCATGGTCAACTCTACTTTGAGGAGGCAGCACTTTCCCAGTCACATTTTGACTAAGGGGCTCATTTTCCGGCACTATATCTGACAATGCTTCTCTGCTATTCATAAGGTTTTCTGTGAATAAATATTCGGAAGCAGTTAGTCACTCCTTCTTCCTAGACTGTCTTCATCTGGAAGCTCATCTGAAACTTGTCCACCATGGGTGACCCTGCTGGTATTTATAATACTGGTGGCATAGCTTTCAGAATCATAGCAGCTCACAAGTCACCACAGTATGACAAACTGAAAGATGAGTGATGGAGTGCTTATCCTACAACAGGATAAATATATATATTTTTTTGTTGTTAAGTGCCTTCAAGTCGGTTCCGACTACTGAGGTCCTGTATAGGGTTTCCAAGGAGCAGTTGATGAGCTTGAACTGCTGACCTGTGGTTCAAACTGGTTTTGAGATCCAGCACATTAAGCCCCAACTCCAAACCAGGACTCCACATATGTATATATACATATATATGTGCAGATAGATTATAGATATGGATATATAGATATAAATAGCTCTGAATATCTTTTTAGTAGAAAAAAATCAAATTAGTGGATTTTCTAATTATTGAATTAAACCCTCCCCGGCAGCTACCTGTCCATACATTTCATAGTTTCCAATAATAAAGCAAAGGAACTCTGGTAGTGTAGTGGTTACACACTGGGCTGCTAACCTCAAGGCCAACAGTTCGAAACTACCAGCTCTTCCACAGGAGAAAGATGAGGCTTTCTGATCCCATAAATATTAAAGACTCGGATACCCTGTACAGGGTGGTTATGAGTTGGAACCGACTCCAGGGCACATAACAACAACAGCAACAACTTAATAAAGCAGAAATCCTGGTGTGGCGCTATGGGTTAATGCACCAGACTGCAAAGTCATTTGAACTGCAAGGTCAGCAGTTCAAGTTCACCAGCTGCTCCTTGGAAACCCGATACAGGGTCGCTATAGGTTGGAACCAACTCAACAGCACTAACAACAATATTGACGCATGAATACAAACACCAGATACTTAGACTAAAGAAATTTTATTTCTTTTTTATATAAAATATAAAAATATTTACATAAATATAAAAAATAACATTTCTGCAATATTGCACTATGCCGTGGTATATGCACCATTTTAAATTTCCAGGAAAGGTGCAGTGTTCCAAAATAAATGTAGGATTCCTTAGCTATCCTCAGACACACTGACGCTATGCAATTAATGGGCCACATTAGACCCAAAAGAAATGCTGCCCTTTGTCTAGTAAGATGAGATGACTAACCAGATATCAGTAAGGCTTAGGTGTTTGGTTGTCTGGTAAGACTAACAGCAGTGAGTAAAGTTGTGCATAAGTTCCAATGAAATGAGGTAATGTGTTCCCCATGGACACTGTTGATATGAAGTAATAGTGACTATAAAGAACTGGCAGCCAGTGTGGGAAAGTTCATTGTTTTACCCTTCATTATTATAAGGTCACAAATGAATGTTCTCTTACCAGCTAAGTTTTCATATAAAATAAAAGTATCTTTTTACAGAATTATATTCTTATAACAATCTTTGGTGAAAGTGGGTTTTCTCCCCTTTGAGAGAAAAAGAAATGTTTAGAATTGAATAAATTACAAAAAAGTACTATAAAATCTGTGCATCCATCTCTAAATCAGTTAAATGCACATTAGTATTTTTAAGGTTCCGAGAATTGCTATAATAATAACATCTTTTTAACTCTGAGTAACCCAGTATTTTCCAAATTTATGCACATCCTAGGACTAGTATTCTCTGGAATGGCTCTACTTGGACTGCTACTTCAAGATTGGCTGTTCAAATCCACCAGCAGCTCCTCAGACACCCCACAGGGTCTCTATCAGTCAGAACACACTCCATGGCACTTAACAACAAGGAGAGATCTATTTTTTTTAATATACAGTATCATTTAGGTCAAGAAAAAATTACTAAATTTTAAAACACTTTCTGCTGGAGGGACTAGGATAAAATTGCATCAACCCATTAACCTAAATTCAAACTGGCATTTTCCCAACTTACCACTGCTACTGCTTTTGAAACCAACAGCTCTTCAGCACTAATGGTTGTAAAGTAGGCCACATTTGTTAGCACATAGCCAATGGTGACAATGGCCATTGATATGCATATTGCAAGGGGGATGGTTCTGAAATGCACAAAGAAATCACTTATTAGTCATCTTTTGTTACTATATCTCTGAAATCAAGGAAGATAGCAGGTTAATGTAAACGGATACAATTCTGATCTGTGGTAGGCTCTGTTGTTTATGCATAAATATTTCAGCATGGCAAAGTACAGCATATACTTTTATAACTTAATAAGTCTATGGTGTGCTGGTATGGCATTGTAGGATAATGTACTGGACTGCAAGGTTGGTTTGGACTACAAGGTTGGAGGTTCAAACTCAACAGCTACTCCTTGGGAACCCTACACAGGGTCATCATGAGTGAAAACAAATTCCTAGAGATACTTATTCTGCTGGACAGTAGACTGCTTTTGAAAATCACTATCCAGGGTGTAGAGTCTTGGTGTGGCACCATAGGATAAGCACTGGACCTCAGGGTCAGTGTGAACTGCAAGGTTGGTGGTTCAAACTCACCAGCTGCTCCTCAGAAACCCTACACAGGGCCCCTATGAGTTGGAAATGACTTGATGGCACTTAACAACCACAGCAACAATGGGGACAGATACATATTCTGTCCTGTTTATAGCTATATCCCAAGAATATATGGATTTGCCTCATCTGTGTGCCCAATAAGTGCTACAATGATGTTCCTCAAACTTCAACTTGCATCAGAATTACCTGGAAGACTAATTGAGACACAGATTGCTGAACCCTACCTAAGAGGAGGTCCTGACTCTGCTGGATTTGCATTTCTAATTCTTAGAGATTCTAATTATGCTGGCCAGGGGACTGATTCTGAGAATTACTATCTGCAAAGTAGTTTGAATCACAAAGTCGGTATTCAAGCTCACCAGTTGCCCTTTGGAAACCCTATACAGGGTCCCTATGGGTTGGAATCAACTCCAAGGCACTTAACAACAACAACAACAACAACAACAACAATCCAGAATGTGGAGTCCTGGTGTGGCATTGTAGAATAATCAAGGACAGCAAAATTGGTGTGAACCATGAGGTCAGTCATTCAAGCTCACCAGCTGCTCCTCAGAAATCCTATACAGGGTCACTATGAGTCGTAACTGACTCAAGGGCACTTAACAACAATATCCAGAGCATGTGTGGCCTATAGAATAAGCACTGGACCACAAGGTCAGTTTGAACTGCAAACTGTGGTTCAAACCCACTAGTCTCTCCTCAGAAACACTAAACAGGGTTGCTATGAGTCAGAACTGACTTGAGAACACTTAACAACAACAACAACAACTTCTAGAGTGTGGTGGCTCTGTAGGATAAACACTGGACTGCAAACCACAAGGTCATTGGTTTGAGCCCACCAATTGCCCTGCTGGAGAAAGATGAGGTTTTCTGCTCCCTCAATTATGTACGGTTTTGGAAACACTATATATAGCCCCTATGAGTCAGAACCAATTCAACTCTACTTAATAACAACAACAAATCCTATGTAATACCAACATTTTTTGATTGTCATTTAGTAAGAGTCCTCAAAATGTCTTTCACACCCAGAGATTCCCCCTTCAGTGGCTTCCCCTACAAGCAAATAAATGCTGACTTTTGGAAGCATGAGAGCAGAATATATTTACCTTTCTAAATGACAGTCATAATAATATTGTATGTAATACAAAAATTTCACAAGTATCCACAATAACGACTTTGCACTGCCATATTGCAAGTTCAAAGGGGGCTCAAAATCATGAGTCACTAACAAAGCAACAGTGCAGATAATCCCATGAAATTAGAGGTGACATGCTGTGAAGTACAGAAGACTGGACAGTGCTGACATTACGTGGCATCCAGAGGTATCCGGCACAAATGCAATGTTATGTCTTCATTTAATGCACTGGGAAGCCAGGGAGTTACTGACCCTAATAATTTGATTCCATGTTACTGATATACATTACTTGCTTAACATAATCACTTCTTCAGACTCTTTCCAGCTCAGGCAACTTAAACTTTGAGCTCCCAGTATAAAGGCTGAAGGGTTTTTTTAGTTATAGTGCTTATCAACCCTCATGGAGCCTTAACCCTGCTGGGTGCCACTAATGAAGACTTCAATATAATTTATTCTAAGACGAAAATGCAGTTCAGATCCAGGGGGGAAAAAAAGAAGGAGAAGGAACAGCCTGCCTTACTACCTAAGCTGAGTGTGGTTAGCACACTAAGTCCCAACTCATTATGCTGAACAGCAATATCCCCTGTTGAAAACAAGCAAACCTAGCCAGTCAGCAGCTACCATCCTTTATGCTGCTTGGAGCCTGACACTCTCCTGATCCCCAAAGCCATAAGCCTTGATGAGGAACCACACTGACCTCTAAATCCTGACATGCTAATATGAAAGTAGCAGATGTTTCCCTTCCCCAGTGTGAGGAGGGGCGTATGGAATTTTCTGTTCACATCACAACCTGCATTGCTAGTTGTAAGATTGATAAATGCTAAATTTAAATAAAGGAAACCATTGGACCCATTAAATACAAAGGAGTGACTTAAGCAAATTAAGCAGATTAAAGAAGAATATTGTTTCTTTGAAAGAAAGGCTATATGTAAATCAACAGGATAAGAGCAGACAGCTTGAAAGAGTCTATACTGTATTTTACAGAAATAACACACGTGTTATATATTTTTTATAAGCTGTGCAGCCCATGTGTGCTATTTTCACAAACACACTATGCTGATATTTTTTACATGCTACTGACTTCAATTTCAATTTATTTTTTTGTCCCATGGATTTAATCTTACCAGGATAAAACTGATCTCATGTAAACTTCATTTAAGGCATGTTTTTCCTAAAAGAAGCGTAACCAATGTTGAATTGAACATGGACTTTAACATGGAAATGGGATACCATGTGGAAACTAATGACTATGAATATGTGAAAAGCTAGATATCAGTAAATAAAAAATCATCTTAGGCTTAAAACTATAAGAACGTGATTTTGCTTATATTTTATTACTTTCCTAAATCTTAAAACTAAATTTTTTTTATAATAAATGTCTTTGAAATCAACAAGTAAAAGTCACCAGAAATTTTACTTTCATCTTCAAATAAGCTATTTTAGTTTATTCATCTATTACCATCACCATCATCATCCAACTCCTAGAACCCTTCAATGTCTGAAGTTATCTTCAATGAAACATCTCCGTGTTGTCTGCAGTCTCTTCTGTGACTTCTAAATTCATGTTATCATAATCACTGCCTTTGATTTCATATTTGTCGTTAGTATTCTGGTGGCACACAATCCCAGTTTCTCTAAAGCTTCTATTGGTGTTTTCTCAGACTACTTTTCCCTAAGTAGAATCCAACCACTTTCAGACTTTTCTAAATCGCACCTTCTTTAGTTGTCCTGATAGTGTGAATTCATGAATCCCAGACTATACACATCTATTCCACTCTCTCTTCTTCACAAAAGTCTTGAAAGGCTGATTGACCACTATATCTAATGGCAGCAATTTGCAGTAAGGCCACCAGGTGTGACTTTTAAGTGGGCAACAATTGAATTAAAATAATTTTTAATATTTTTTTTTTCTTTGTGAGCAGTCATGGCATCAAAAAGTAGCAAATACGTTTTCAAAATGATTTTCCCCTGTCTTTCCCTATAATATTTATCTACCCATACTTTTGTAATACCATAACATCCATTTCTTTCTTACTACAGAGAACAACCATACTGGTAGGCAGTTTTTTGTAGGGTATGATAACACTTAAAAATCACCATCAACTTTAATTTCATTACACTTACAATGCAAATGAATACAATGCAAGGACTACAACAAAGCAAATCCTTTTGTGACCAACCAGTGATTGTAATGGCTACAGTTTCTGTACCTGATACAGTTATCAGGTAATGTGGCTAGAATGCTAAAAGATATTAGAACCTCATGCACGTTGAATATGTCAATCAAAGAGATATCAAATTCAGGGGTCTTGGGGGAAATGAATTCATGGAAGTTGACCATCTCCTCCTATCAGTCATCTATAAGTTACTGTCCTTCAGTTGTTTTTATTCTCATGTAAAGGCCATTCCTTTTCATGAACTAAGAGATTCATGTGAAACCCTTCTTGAAGTTTGGGATTCCTCTTTCATTTGTCACTTTGATCTGAATTGTGACAGTAAGGACAGCTTGATTTTGTTCCCTCAGAAACATAAGTCACTCTTTAAAATAGTTCTCCAGGCCAGGTTACTTTAGGCCCAGGATGAAGGAGTCTTAGTCCATTCACTTTCTCCAGCTCTTTTTTCTCCTTTCTATACTCATAGATGTCTCTCAATCTCAAACTCTCTCCTGTTGCTTGTATTTCTTCTGCCCTTACGATGACATTCAGTTTGAAGTTGGTAGTGTAAGACTTGTATTAAACTCTTGACTGGTCCTAAAAGGTTCTCAGATTTAGATATACAAACTGAAAAAATGAATACAATATAATCCATCACAAATTGGTTCTAGTAAAGAGATGGCAAAATTCAAATGTGAGGCATGCTAGAAGCAAGAGACTTTTTATATGCTTGAAAGCATGTGACTAAGGTAACTTATGATCATCCATCAAAGATATTCACTATGAAATAAGCAGACCTAACACAGTTTAATGGTTTCACTTAAGATGATCTGATAAGGCTTTTACATTTAACTGTTGAGTCAAAAGCAATGGCATATCAGTTTTGCTTTGTTTAATTCTTCAATAAAACCAGAGGCTGAAGATGACTGTGATAATTTTGTCAATGCAGACTGAATTGAGATTACTACTGAAAGTCACTCCATGCTATTAATGCCAGTGGAGACGTAGCTTTGTTTAGGTTTCCAATTGATAGAACATAACTTATAAACAGAGTCCTGGTGTGGTGCTGTGGGTTAAAGTGCCAGACTGCAAAGCCATCTGAATTGCAAAATCAGCGGTTCAAGCTCACCAGCTGCTCCTTGGAAACTCTATACAGGGTCGCTGTGGGTCGGAACTGACTCAATGGCACTTAAAAACAACAACTTATAAACAGGCCTAAGTAGGTTCAAGGTTCCCATTGG